CCCCCCCCCCCGAAAAAAAGGGGGTGAATACGAAATGAGTTTGGCATTGATGAGAAGTAAGACCAGAAGGAGGAAGAATAAGGGTAGTTGTGTGCAAAAGCTCGGCATAACATAATGTTGAACATAAAAAGACAACAATGTTGTCCACGAATACAAAGAGTACGAACAAAGAGAAGACTGTAATTTTCACGTCTAAAATGCCATAGATAGCTGAGATACTTAAAAAAAAAACGTTGCCCGCACTGGGTCGTTGCACTACATTGATCCGCGAACCATTTCCTACAGAAACGGGTGTGGATGATGAAATAATCTAGGAGAGCGCGCGCCAAAAACAAAAAGTATAGTAGTTTAAAAAAATTGAGTTTTTGATATAATGACCTCCGCTCGAGAAAAGGTCGGCAAAGTGTTCTTGAATAGCTTACAAAACAAGCGCGCCGCCGAAAAGCGAAGAAGCAAGCACAACAGCACCACAGACAATGGGTGCAAGACCGAAGCTCATAGGACGCACGTTAGCAGCTGCGCCAGCAGAGCTGGTGGGAGAGCCAGTAGAGGTAGGCGTCTTTCCACCAGAGGTAACAGCGCCAGCACCCGCATCACCGATATCTGGGGTGGAAGAACCGGCATCCTGAGATCCATCACCCTTGAGACCAGGACCATCACCGGCACCCTTGGTGAAGAAATCCTTGGCACCATCAGGCAGGCTGGGCAACTCGTTGCTCTTAAGGGTAACATCCCAGGTCTTGGACTGAGATGGGCACTGCGATGCCTGGCCGTTGGAGAGGTAGCCGCCGTCACCGGTAGGGTTGGGGGTACCCGCGAAAGCGGACTTGAGGGCAGTGAAATCAGGGAGTTCGTTGACATTGTTGCCGTCGATCTCGACGAGGCCGTACTTTGACTCTTCTTGCGAGTACTCGTAGACGAGACCACCGCTGTAAGACTTGGTCATCTTGGGGTCGTAGAGAGCCTTTACTTCTTCGAATTTGCGCGTGTTAGTGTTGCAGCCGTACTCGGAGAGGCTTTTGTAATGTTAGAAAATGCTCGTGCTTATTTTTTAGGTGTAAAGGGGAACTCACAAAATAGGGATGCTGTAGTTGGAAAACTTCTGCACCTTGATGTTCCAGCCAGATGTCTCGTACGAAGAGGGATCGCACCAGGAGTAGTCGTTGAAACCGAAGAAGTCGCTGCGGACGGAGTCGTCGCCGCAGTTCATGTAGTCGGCCATCTCATAACGGTTGGACTCGACGTCGGCGGCAGAGTAGCCGACGGGGACCTTGCGGAGACCACGGGCGTTCATGTACGACTTGAGGTCGCGAGTGACAGCCTTGACGTAAGGAGCGCAGTCAGTCGTCTTGTCGTCGTTGATGACTTCGTTGCCAGAGAAGAACAACAGAGTGTTGTCGTACTTGGCGAACATCTCGACGGTAGCGAACAAGCTCTGGAGGTAGACCTTGTTGTACGACTTCTGGGGGTTCGCACGGTTGATCGAGTACTTGGGAGTGTTGACGTCGAGAGCCAGGTAGATGCCGGCGTCGGCTAGGAGGCCCATGCAGGTGTCGTGGTTAGCACTGTTGTCAACAGTGTAGACACGGACGGTGTTGATGCCGAGCTCCTTGAACTTGGAGATGTCACGCTTGCAGCCGTCCTCATCGGCAATGGGGTCCTTTGCGTCGGATGCGCCACCGGGCTGGTAGTCAACACCACGGATGTAGAAGCGCTCGTTGCCGGCCCAGAAAGCTGGCTTCAGTCAGCAATTGTAAAGGCGGATCAATTCACAGAGAACAACATACCATTTCCCTTGACGGTCACCGGGGTGATCTTGGAGTTGGAAGCACGCTTCTGCTCTGTCGGCTTGGCAGCAGCAGTAGCCGCTAGAGCGACTGCAAAGATGTAGGTCTTCATGATGCTAGATTTGTATCGGATGATGCGGATTACGAATCGTCGTTCAGTTCAGTAGAAAAGGCAAGCGAGTGCGGAGGATGGAAAGCGTAGTCGGGGAGACAGCGAGTAGAGCAACTCCCGTATAAAACGAGTGTACGAAGTTGCAATGGAAATTAGGTGAAAGTGAAAAGGGAAGAAGGAAAAAGGTGGCTTGTAGCTAGAGAGAAAGCGACCGACGCAATGAAGGGTTATCAATGAACAAGGACGGGGGGCGAACAAGTCGACAAACAAGATTAATACCGCTGGCGCCGGCCCCAGACAATGACAGATGCAGAAAGGCGACGCGTCCAATTTTAGCGGCACATACATGTTGCCCCGCTGATTGGCCACAAGTGTCCGTTACAGAAAACGCCAACCCCTGACTAAGGCGCCAAGATTTACTCAAGCGCAGACTAGGGCCCCCAGTAAGCTCTTCCAAGCCGTGGCAACGATGCTTGGATCGACTGCCCGCAATCCTTCACACTATGATTAAAAAAACAGTGGGAACGAGGACACGCGTTAGCACGTCAATCACTTCTCCGTTGTCGACTACAATATCTCATCCCTACCCTTTTCTTGTTGTTGCAACGGCCGATCGGAATACACCATGCAGGCATTAACCCCCCTTCCCCTTGTACCGTCATCACCCTACCTGGCGCCATGTCCCTCCCCCGGGCCCGAGATTAGCTTTCCTGGGACAAGCAGACGGGAAGGCTTTGTTAGTAGCTTTTTTTTGCACGAATGCAACGGGATATGATGACATGTTCCCGATCACAATAAACATTACCTGCATGTAATCATGCAGCTTGAGAACTGGGCCATGGAGACAAGAGACTTATTTCTTGCCTGCTGTGGGAAGGTGCCAAAACATACCGATGCTTGGTTTCAGCTTCCATACGTCTAGGTCCACTTTTGTTGCTGATCGAATGATGCTTAGTGGTTCGAGCAAAGCGGTGCCTTTCGTCATCGTGTTTTATTTGAAGCCGCGTTGAGCGTCCCTGACTATCCGTATTTTAAACTATGGGGTTGGGGGGTGGTTTACGAGTTTGTGATGCGAGATGCGGCACTTTCTGCACATGGTAAGGTAAGCACACACGTGCATACGCCCTTTCGCATCTGGAATTAGGGTTATTAAATACCTCCATAACCTATCTGCATGTCTCCAATTTGGAACTGTTCGCGCTGTAAAGACTTTCTCTCTCTTTGGATTTGGGGTGGAGTGAGAGGGGAGATGCTTGCTTGCATTAGTAGCCCATCAACCTCACTCCACGTTCAACACGACTCGGCAAACCCCGTACTACCCAAAATCAATCTTCACATGCAACACCACCATCAATAATCCTATACCATATCACAATCCTACACCGTATCCCACCAAAAAAAAAACACAGCCACACGACCCTACCCAAAAAACACACTGCTTCCACACGCGCTCTCGCCACCGCCGCCTCCCCCAAGCGCCCCAAAAATAGCCCTTCGTTCCCCCAGTCTCCTTCTAGACTGCCACTAAAAAACAAGAATACGACAAGCGCGCACCTCGTGTCTTCTACCACACTAAATCGCATGCAAACTTATCGCCATTCGCACCTGTCAGTGTCAGTCAGCCTCGTAACCGTGTTTTTTAGCGCCTTAATATTCTTGCTCGTATTGCGAGAGAAAGCATGTGATCATCCCTTTCCATGAATTCTTCATCTACACTAGATTACTGCAGGATGCCAATGTGCGATTTCATCGGCATCATAGTACTTGATTTTCCCTTCTCATCATGTCCGTTAAACTTGGCCCAGATACCCACGATTCGCATCTCTTTTCCTCGCTACACAGCAAACACGCAATGTAACAGCGTCATCATCTCAGAATTAATTACTTTATTATCATAATATAAGAAAGAAAGGTAGAAAAAGGAACCATATAAAGCCCATCACCTTTATCGCATACCCATACCCATTCATTCCCTCATTCCCTCATATCCCCTCATTTCCATTCCCATGAGCCCGTTATGTACATACGTCATCACCATCCTCCAGTACACCTGCTATCCCACCTAATTCTTCTTCAACCCAAAGTAAAGTCCCAGCACGAGCGCGATAATGCAAATGATGGCAATGACGGTAAGAAGAATGTACCATTTGAGTTTTCGCGCGCGCCTCGCCGACTTGATACCCTCTTCTAGCTGCTTGTTTGCGTTTTCCGTATCGTCTTTGACTTGGACGGTTTGCTGCTCGGCTTGCTGGATTTGCGGTTCTTGGTACATGACTTGCTCGTTGAGTTGGGTGAAGAGGAGGGCGAGCTCGCTCATTGTCTTTTCGATGCGCTGGATGTCGTTGTGGCGGGCGCGGACGGCACCGAGGACGCTTGCTGCTTGGCCGCTGCGGTTTGACTTGAGCTATTGACCTGTTAGGCGGAGTGTTCTTGCTATGCACGTCTCGATTCACACTTACAGCTTGGGTGAATATACCCTCGTCACCCAAGTCGGCATTGGCTACCTCTTCGACTTCGGCATCTGTAGCATCTGGGTTGATGATACGATATTGCCTGCCAATAGCCTCACGGTACCTCTTGGAATAATCAGCCTCCTCCTTTTGAAAGTCCTCGAGCTGGCTCTTGAAGGTCCTCTTGAGTGCCTCGACCTGAGACTTCTTTGTCCTGTCATTGAGGTCGCGCAAGGCGTCCTTCTCCAGAAACTTGATCTCGTCCTTGATTTGTGTGTTCCTGATCTGCGTGTTGGTTACAACGGCCTCGAGTTCAGCACTGGACCGGTTGTCGGGCGAGGAGAGCATGCGCTGATGGATATTGGCAATGGTTTGGATGTCCGAAGTAAGCTGACCGATGCGCTGCTTTGCGCCTTCGATCCGCGTGAAAAAGTCATCTCGGCTTAGAGGCTGGGACCCAGGCGCCTCCATGGTATTGCCTTGGCCAGGCAAGCCGTTGAGAGGTACGTCTGTATGAGGGACGTTTTGCCCATTCGTTTGCGCTGGGCTCAAGGCACCAGCCTGCGAGTATTGCGACGGCTGTGAGTAATTGGACTCGCCATGGCGCTGGAGAGGGGCTGGAGGGTTTAGCTGCTGCTGCTGCGGCGGCTCGTCATACTATGCTGTCGCATTAGTCTTGTCTTGTCGTGTTATGGAATGCGACGTCTTACACCTCCGCCATATGGGTTGGACGAGCCATAGCCGCCGCTCCCGCCGTATGGATTCGAATGCGCACCATATTCTTCGGCCTGGCCGTAGGGATTCCCACTGTATTGCTGGTAATTCTGCGACATGTCGGAGATTGCTGGGGTAGCTTGGTAGCGAGAAGAAGCGATGGTTTCGGGATGCCGTGGTGGAGCTGAAAGAACAACCGCGGAAGCTACGGAAGAGAAGTGCCGTTGGGGTGCAGGCTTGGCTGCCTTGCAATTCTTGTATAAGCCGAGGCTGACAGCTTAAGAATCAAGATGCAATCGATTCGAGGGCTTAACAGCAATTATCTCGAGCTCGTCGCAAGCTTGTTTTGTTGTGGGGAGACCAGGAAGTTAAATGACTGCGAGACCCTGTTGAACCCGCCCAGCCTTCTGAGCCGCGCATAGTCACGTCACCAATGGGACGGGAACGGGCAAACTCCCGAGGCATGCTCTTTTGGCAACATTCCCCTTGTGACATCTGCACGTTGTTGTGACCGCGATGCGAACATGCACACACACACACACATGCCTTTGGCAAGTTCAGCATGCTACTACGCTTCTGAGACGACGCGCACATTGAGACCACAGTCTTACGATGGCTGTTCTTGAAGCTGTCTTGAGAGTCTGACATGTGACGTAATGCTGATCACCCAATCCATCTCTGTTAGGTAATCTACAAGGCGATTTAGTATCTCGAACCTTATTCCCGAAAGCTCTTGTCCGTGTGCAACATCCTCAGTTGTTCAGCTTCGAAGCGATATCCAAAGAACCGTAGAGTTATGCGCCTGCTTTTCTAGTACCTGACCTTGCGCAAAAGGGAAAAGCACGAACCCTCCAAAAAGTAAAGGAAAACCACCATCATTTCTTTTCTATCAAAAGAACAAAAGTGCATAAGCCTGCATCATCCCATATCCTACGATGGTCAAAAGGAAAAAAAACATTATAAAACTTCCTTCACAAACTCCCTTTTACTTCCTTGTACTATCCCCATTACCACTCCCACCGCCGTTCGCACCCCCAACCATACATGTCCTCGCATCCTCGAGCTCAGCTATAACTCTCTCTTCCAACTCACTCGGCGCATCCTCTCCCTTGCCCTTGGTGCGATTCAGCATGTCCAACTCCTTCTCATCAACCGCAACAAGACGTTCTCTGAGCGCACTCTTACGCGATAACCAACTCTCCACATCCTCTTTAACAGCGTCCTTTTCCCATTCCAGAAGCGCCACTTCGTTGGCTTGAATACCCAGCTTAGGCCCTTGTTTGCGCACGTTCTCTAAGATCGCGGCGATAAGGGCCAAACTGTGGATTTCAGATGCCACAGAAAGCGTGATCTTGTTGCTGTTGGCTGCGTAACGAGACGATGAATTCGATGAGTTGATGCTTGATGCCGAGCGGGCCAATTGTTCAGGAAATTGGTTGAGGAATGAGGAAATCTCGCCAGCAATCGGAGGCCCGACGGATAAGAGGAGGTTGAGGCAGAGGGGAAGGATTCCCTTGGTCCAGACAGAGTACATGCGAACCGGGCTGTCAAAGGGACCGGTGCCGTTTACGCGACGGTAGTAGTTCATAATGTTTGCCGTGTTGAGTTGGCTGAGGATACCTTCGACAGCCATGGTCTCGGCTAGAGCTTGGATGCTGGATAGCGAGAGCAAGAAGAGGATGCTTAGCTCGCCGTAAATAGGATCGTCCACGCCATTGTGTGATATTGCGAGGCGATCGGCCCATGAGAAAAGGCTGGTGGCATAGCGTACTGTGTTGTTATTTGCAAAGAGAAGCGCTGCTTGTTGCTGCCACTTGGACATTTCTGGTATGGCGA